TTTCGTTACTGGTGTATCAGTGCAGATACTCTTAAAAGTTCAACACTCAAGGAACTTTCTCGTGAATAATCATGAAGAGATAGAATACAAGCACAATGATGATCTACAAAGTAGTGCGCACATGACTATGATTCATGTAAGTAATTCCGTCCCCTTCTTTATTTGTTGCATTATCGATTTCAATCAATAAGATATGTTACTGAGATTAAATATAGTGTTTATTATTTATTTTGCGTTGAATATTTAATTATTATAATTGAATTAACCCCAATTATATGCTCGGAAACCTCCATATATTAATTTTGTTGTCTTTATCTATTTTTTGTTTATCATTCCTCACATGATAAGCATGTTAACGCTCAAACTAGCGAGGCTTACAAATGTTGAATAAGAGTTGGTCCTTTAGTGGATTTGGGCTTTGCAATTAAGAAAAATGAACACAGAGTTTAAGTGGTTCACCCCATAAAATTGGATTACGTCTACTGGTTTTTATTTAGGAAACTTTAATGAAAAGCTTCCGATACTATTCACTTTAATGAAAAATCATATTTTTACACTAAAAAGTCAATCTTGGTACTATTCACTTTACTTTTTATTTTGTCTTTATTGTTAAAACTCAAAATTTTCAAGCTTTTTTCATTAGTTTTCCTTTTTATTTATTTATGATGAATTGAATTACACTAGCGTTTGGCTATAGAACAGTATATTTGTCTAATCCTCTTCTTTAGCCAATACGTGGCAACGATGTGGGTTCTTCCTAGATCCACTTGCATCCTGTCTAGGGATGAGCCGGCCGAGCGTCTTGCTCGGCTTGGTGGGAGTCCGTACTCGAGAGCCCCATATGTCAACATTTATGCCATTCTGTAGGCTTTCTGGCTCCTGTGTAAACTATTATGTGGCTCAAAGTTAACATCTGAATGGGCATGTCTCCTCTGCTCCTAGGTCCTCGTGCCTAAAAGTTGTCAGAAATGACTTCATCCTTAAGCGCTCAAGAGTGGCTTCCAGGGGAAGTGCTCGGAGTGATCGAAGGCTAGACACTCGAAGGCCCTGAGTCCTTGGAGGCGCTCGACCTCACATTTTCCAGGTTCTCTGGGCCTTGACATTCCTTGGGCCTATGTTCCTTCGGCCTGTCAGGGTTAAAAATACCCTATTTTAGCAAGGTCAAGGAAGCCCTGTATGTTTGTCTTTATTGTAATGAAGTTGAAATCTTGATTAATAAAATTAAAATCACAGTGATGAAAATTTAATTGAAGGATCGCTAAAACGGAAACGGTATTTGTAAAAAGACAATACTTGCATTCACCTCATGGGGTGCACCACCTCATCCAGCCCTCAAGATTAGCCTTTTTTAATCAAACGAATTTATAATTGAAATTGTTTAATTTCTCAATAATCATTTAAAAATTTATTTGAATTTGAGATCGTTTAGTCATTTATATGTATCAAATATATGGATGGTTAATGAATATGTTACTTAGTAGCAACACTATCATTTTGTTCAATTAATATGGATACCTAAATGATCTTTGATTTGATTGATAAAAATGATATTTAGATAACAATTAAGAAAATAATGGTTGTGATTATGAAATTTGTATGGTAAAATAATTTTGTTATAAAGGGTGGACAATGTGGTAAATGACACACCCCGATCGAAATCAGGGCATGCTGGCCGTCACGTGGAAGTGACGTAACCATGTGCATAGTGCGGAAGCTAATAAAATAATAATAAAAGTACGAATAAATAAAAACCAGCTTTACACAACATAAGAACATACATGTGCAAGCGTAAGTGTGAAAAAAAACAAAGTTCAGAGCTCGAAGACCTAATGCAGTCCGGGAGAAATAACGCTACAAAAACACACCCAAAGGTGGTCCTACACTGGTAATAATCTGTCAGATATGCCGGGGAAATCCTCTAGGAAACCACCAAAAGTGCTAGCCAACTAGAACCTGGAGGGGCGCAAAACAAAAAGTGTGAGTGGGCAAAAACAAAGCTTTTCGAAAACCATTTCATAAACAAAGTTCTAACCCCTCGCCGTAAAACCTATATACCTCCCAGAAAATAGAGTATACATATATCTATAAAATTCATGCTCAGAAATATGCCATGGCAAAAGCCTCGAAGTAAAATGCAAGTGCTCAGGTAATGTCAAATCAATGCCATGTAATCTGTCAGCCGGAGTCACTTAACGTGACCTGTACGGCTGAATCTAGAGCTCAAATCTCCATCTCACTAACTATACTTGCACACGAGTTGGAACCACCTAAAGTGGTCTGTACGACAGGACTGAGTGTAATATAAGTACGCTCAAGTGCTACGATCACGTGAAGGCTGGGCGAATAATCGCGGGTCACCTATGAGTCGGAACCACCTAAAGTGGTCTGTACGACAGGATTGTGCACCTAACTTGGATCCAAGATGAGCGTGTGGTGTGGGAGGTGAACATCATGTGAAGGACTGTGCCTAACTCTGGGCGGGAGCACTAACACTGGGGGTGCAGGTTATGAGCTCTTTATGCATCTCAAATCACTGCTAAACATAAACATAAATCATAACTCACCTGGCACTTACCTGTGCGTCCGCAGCACCAAACATATATATATATATATATATATATACACACATATACGACTAATAATGCGTAATAAATGGCAAACAATAAGCATGACATATAAACGTATAAACATTTCCAATCACTTTCTGGGAAAAACGTAAGTATATAGGTATATATAGAAAACAAAAGCCCACTCACTGGTATGTAGAAGGGTCGTAACCCCCTTGCCTCGAGTGACCGCGCTCGTCCTCGGGATAGGTCTCACCTATATGCGAAACTACTATAAAAACGTTAATTTTAAAGCACATAACCAACATCACGAAATAACTTCTCATACAATGCTCAAATGGGGTGTATAAATACACCAACGTGATCTACTCAACCTCAGGAACATCCCCATATTTTTAGAAAAATTTTCCACCGCCGCACGCGCCCCCACACGCCGCCCAAGGCACGGCCACACGCGCCGGCACGTGCCTGGCACACTGACGGCATCAGGAATATTCCGTTAACTTTAACGGATTCCGTTAACGCCGTTAGGAATATTCCGTCCAAACTGACGGAACATTCCGTTATCTTCTCCGGCGAAGCTCCGGCGCCTGAAAATCGGGAAAACTTTAAAACCTTGTAACTTCTTCGTTTTTCAACCAAATTTCACAAAATTGATACCAAAATGAAGCTTACAACGAGAGGAACAAATCCATACCACTTTCAAGTACTAAAACACACGGAATCTCGCCGGGAAAACACCACCAACTCCGCCCAACCTTGTAACTCACGATCCCAACGTCCAAAACCTTCAAACGAACCACCCCGAGCCTCCTAAGGACCTCACCAAGCTTCCTACAAGCTTGAAATTCCCAAAAACACAAGAATTAACGTGTGCATAAACAGTGACCAAATCGGGGTATCCCGAGTTCGACGTGAAAACGAAGGTATCCTTACCTGAAATGGGTATGGTTGAACTCCCAAGGACCTCACGAGCACGAATATGTAATTTGTTTCCTCGATCTGTGAAGGTTTGGATGGTTTTTGGGTGTGTCCGTACATAGAGGATAGGAAAGGGAGAGAGAGAGGGCTCGGGACAGGGATGCAGGACAGGGGAAAGGGTGAGGGGGTGTGGGAGAGTGTGTGTGTGGTCCAAAACCTGCCAACAAAATCCAAAAACAACCACACAACGAAATAACCACACTAGGGGCAAAAACGTCATTTCACCCCTACAGTTCGAAAAATCCGGAATTGGCTGTCACAGTAAATCCCATGGGGTGGAGGCAAATATTTTTTTTTTCTTAACTAAGATGCAAATATTTTTCTTTGTCAAATATGTAGTTACCAGTCATGATAATATTTTTTTCTATTAAAAAAAAATTAAGATTCGAATCTCGTGGATAATGAGTTTAAAATTAATTACAATAATTTATTATGACCACCTCACTGTATGATTTAGGCCAAAATATCTCACTCCTTAGCAAAATAATATTTTTGTATAAAAGAATGATAGTTTAAGACATTACATATAAAAATTCATCAAAATGAACAAAAATTTACACACCATACATCATATAGACCGGATTGATTTGTACACCTTTTTTTGTCTTCCATCACTCTAGCTTTTTAGTCATAGAATTGAACGAATCAATGATAAATCAATGGTCTGAAGCAAAAGAAATAAGTTTAAAAAATGAGTCTCTAAAAGTCACAACACGTTTTGTTTAAAATAATAATAAAAAAAAAGTCGCAGCACGTATTGGAACATCACATTTCGTTGGATAATGTTATGAAAATTAAATTTGTAGACAAAATTTTAGAAGCTAAAGGATATGAAAGTTGATGATTGGTTTATTATTTAAGCGTTAACGTGCTCATTTCTATTAGTGACACATCATTTAGTTTGCAAATTTAATATTTCTAGCATTATCTCATTTCTTCATTGAGTAATGTTAAGGAGGCTAAATTTGTAAACTAAATGATGTGTTATCAATAGAAAATGAGTACGTTTAAGTAATAATTAAATCATCAACTTCTATGTTATTTAATTTACAAAATTTAATCTATCGTATTTTTCATTTTGGTCAAGGTGCTTTAAAGGAAGGAGGGCGGAGGGATATCACAGAAAACTGAAACTTTTGCGTGTTATTTTATTGACCGCCATGACCAAAGCAGTTTGACGCTTTCCATAACCACAAAGCAAAAACATTGATTTTTCTCACTCCTTACCGGCGGGCCGGCGGTACTCTTTTTCTCTCTCTTTGTCTCTCTCTTTCGCATCTCTTTCCTTTTGACTCCGTACATTGTATATGAACCAGAATCTCCCTCTCTCTACCTCCCTATATCTCTCCAAAAAAACATACTCACCTCTTTGTCCCTTTCCCTCCACGCCAAAAACCATCCGCTCCCTCTGTTTCTTTCTCTCTCTTCATTCTATTTCCGTTTTGTTGTCGTTTGTTGAATGTAAAGACAATAAGATTGGAATTTGGTTTTGCTGTAAACATCGAAGAAAAGCAGTTATTGTGTCCTGGAGGAAAATGAGATTCATGTTTACGAGTTCTGAGATTGCTTTCGTTCTTCTGCTGGGGTTTCTGGCTTTGAATTGCTTCACTGAGTTCGAATCGAATGCTCAACTTTTGCCTCTGGAAGAAGGTAAGTGCTATAATCATTCATTCTCGCTTTAATCTTTTTTTAATTTTAACTGCAAATATTTTCTAGGTTTTTGGGTTTAGCGTTCATTGAGGAGGGCATTGCATTGCAGTTGGTTTTGTGTTGTGAGCTGTGACAACTTCTCTGCTTGGTTGCTAAGAAAATTGCAAAAAAGCAAGGAGATTGAATTCATTTGCATCTGTGTTGTGCTAACTGCTCTATGTTTCAAGCTTCTCTGGCTCGCTGTCAATGTCGTTTCTCTTTTTGGTCCATGAATTTTCATAAAACAATTGCAAACCAAAATATAATTGGGGAACTGCAACTATTAGTATCAGAGATTTAAAATCTTTCTACTTTCTTCATTTTAAAACAAACATCTTTTAGTTTTGGCTTAAGAAGATCAGTTTCAACCGTATTTCTTTATAAATATTCCCATTTCTTTGTTTTACACATAGGATCCTCATCTTAGGGGAATGATTTATAAAAGAGTTTCATTGTTATCGTGACGTTTTTGTCAAATAAAACAATGTCACCTAAAAACTTTTCTTCACATGATATTGCAATATTAAATCAGAACGCAACGATGACAATAATTCTGTTTGATGCCACATGCATTGTCTTCCCAGTTGGCTCTGTGCTATTTGTATCTGAGATTACAGTTTTACCCTGCTGTACCAGTGCAATTGAGAGAGAAAAAAAGATGATGATAAGGGACATAATAGTCCTTATATAATTCACATGAGTACAAGTTGCAAAATGGGCAGTCCATCTGTCTGCACTGATTTGCATGTCTTGAAACCTTGAAGGAGACGAGGACATAAGCCTGTTCCAGATCTACAAAATCTTCTTTCTTTTTCATAAAATAAAAAATAGTAATTTTAATTTAATTATCTTCATGGTTGTATTTAATTTAATTCAATTATCTTTATCTGTTTTGTTTGTAGCATATTTGATTATCATATAGCAAAATGTTGTAGGTTGATTGCCTCACAAGTGTCCAATAATTACATAATGTGGCAATTTCTTAATAACAGTGATTGCATAATGTGTCCAATCAAAACAAAATGACAAACGATTTACTATTTTTTTTAATAAACAATAATATTTGCACTAGGCAGATAAAGAAGCGGACTAAGCCTCACAACGAGTTAGCAATAATGTGGTTTAAATTCTTTTTTGGCGAGAATCAAACGCAAGACCTCTCACCTAGAAACTAAGAGGAGTACCACTAGACGTTAGTACTAAGTAGCTGATATACTATTTAAAATATTAAATTATGAATTATATTATTTTCCTGGATAGAGTTTCACAATTAGTTTTAGGTCGACCGGAATTAGGTTATAGTTGAGTTGGACGACTACGTAAATGCCTTAGAAGTGTGAACAGGGGCACATGATCTAGTTTTTTGATTAAATGGTCAGACCCAAAAAGAGGATATTTTTAAATATATATGAATATTGACCATTGTTTTTCTGCATATTGAATTTTGACCACGTGATGTTCTTCAAGTTGCTTCCAAATCTGCTATATTGTTTTGGTTTTGGCTGAAAAGTCTTCTACCAGAACTTGTCAATATATTACGAAACATTTGTTCAAATTTGTCAATAAATCCCACGGAAATGTAATTTTATAACCTCTATTTAATATCGTAAGATCCTCTTAGCCGTTTTGTATATGACAAGACCGTTTATATTTTAAATTACTTAAACTATGAGTCGGGATATTTGAATTTGGTTATAAGCGGGCATACCGTCCTGACCTACTAGCCGGAGCAGTTTGATGCTTCGATATGGGTCCGAAATTACCCATAAAACCTCAGTGTTGTAATGTGATTTGGGTTGGTAATGTTGATTCTGAGTAAGTGTGGGTTTGTGCTTGGGTTGGGTGCGACTTGTGAATTCATGGGTGCGGTGAACAGTTTTGATTAGCTGTAAACATGAAGTAAGCTAATTTCATCTAAAGTTGGGTGCGATGAGTAGTTTTATAGGCAGCAATAAAAAGTACTATATAGCATAATTGGTTGTAGGAAGTGGTAGATTTGTGTTATTTTAGTTACCTCTAATCTTTGTTTCTCCAACTGAACCTATTTACTTAATATCGCTAATCGATTTTTGCATACGTTGCAGTGAAAATTCTTGAAACAATTTCCAAAAAGTTACACAACACTCACTGGAACATCAGTCAAAGTTCTTGCCAAGATGGTGGAGCAGGCTTCTACAAATACTTCACTGATGATATTCTGAGCAATGTCACTTGCAACTGTTCCTTTCCAAGCAACACTTGCCATGTCACAATCATGTATAACTTTGTTGGTCTGAAGTTCTATTGTTCTTAGTTCTGTTGTTCCTTTCTAATTATTAGTTTTGCTTAAATGTTGGTTTTATAGTGAGATGAAGGGTCTCAATTTAACTGGAGTTATACCTGAGGAACTCGGAAATCTTACACATCTGGAAGCAATGTAAGTGATACACATTTTACGTTTTTTGTCTCTCAGCTTATTGAATTTGTTTATGGACGTTAGCTGGGGTATGGACTGTGGAGATGAATTTCAATTGTTTGTCCGTATTAAACAGTGATCTCACTCGCAATTACATCAATGGATCAATCCCTGCAAGCCTCTCTCGTGCTCCTTTTCGCGCTCTGTAAGTGATGCCTTCATATCACCGAGACCTTAAGTAGTGGTCGTGTGGCCACTTTTAGCATGTGTAGGCCTAACATGTAATTTAACTGTTGGTATGCTGCAGGAATCTTTTGGGAAATCGACTCAATGGTTCAATTCCCATTGATGGCTTTACTATGCTTACAGAGTTGTAAGTATTGCAATGTTCTTTGCTTATTGACAAAAAGAGAAGGAATGTGCATAACCTTGACTGCCAAATTGCATTTTCCAGGGTGTTGGAAGATAATCAGTTTGAAGGGCATCTTCCCCAAAACATCGGAAAGCTAACTAACTTAAAAAGACTGTAAGACAAAATTCTCATTTCTATTCATCATCGAAATCTTTCATTAATTATCCAAACAATGTAGAAAACTTTTGTTGATTAATCAGAAATTTTCTATCAGACTATGCTCTTCATGTACATATGATTAGCGTCAGCTCCTTGTTATGTATGTAAATACCGGAGAAATCTATCAGCTTCGAAATAAATGCATAACCGTCTCTTTCATTTTCCACAGCCTTCTTTCTGCCAACAATTTTACAGGGACTATACCAGAATCATACGGAAACCTAAAGAACTTAACTGATTTGTAAGTGATGTGGCACAACTCAATTGTTTAGATGTGTAGGATTCTTGAACAGACAATTTCACATCTTCTTTTACTGCCTGCAGTAGGATAGATGGGAGCCGATTATCAGGGAAGATACCGAGTTTTATTGGAAACTGGACCAAACTTGAAAGACTGTGCGTGCTGCTCCTCATTATATTCATCTCCCATCATTCACTTCTTTAAATCAAATTTTTGAATGTTGGTTAATGTTTATACTGTTTCCGCTGAAGAATTGTATTAAATCTACTGCAGTGATATGCAAGGCACATCCTTGGAAGGCCCTATACCTTCGATCATATCTTCGTTGAAAAACTTAACTGAATTGTGAGATCACCGCTCCTCTATCTTGTAATTACATATTTAGGGTATTGATCTAATGATTGGTTGCTAATTCAAAATCTGCAACAATAAAACAAATAAATATTTCTGATGTGTCCTTTGTATCAGGAGAATATCTGATTTAAACGGAAGTTCACCGTTTCCTAATTTGAAAGATATGAAGGATATCAAGCTAGTGTGAGTATAACACAGCCCTATCAAAATTCTACTACCGTTTAATTAGTAATGCAGTTATGCTAATTTATGTGCATCTATGACTCAGGACTCTGAGAAACTGTTCAATTAGTGGTACAATCCCAAATTATTTTGGCGAGCTGAGGCAATTAAAAACATTGTGAGTGCTTTTAGAATCAGTATACTTATAGATGCATAAATTTATCGTCACCACACTGATGTAAGCTAGTATATGATGGCTTTTTCCTCTGTCTAACTTGTAGAGACCTGAGCTTTAACAACTTGACTGGTGAAATTCCACAAACGATTCAGCGTGTTGACACTCTAAGTTATATGTAAGTCAATCAAATAAAAGAAGCATTCGTTTATTCGAGCAAATGCTTCGTGTTTTATTTATTCATTGAGTTAGCTATGTCTGCACTGATCTTAAGAATTTACGCTTGCAGGTTTTTGACCAACAACTCACTCACCGGAGAAGTACCAACCTGGATATTGAACAACAAAAATTACTTGTCAGTCTATACTCTTTTACTAATCTATGAAGTTCTGTTTATCTATGTTTATTTCTTTATGTGCAAAATGCTAGCCAACTTCGATTTCAATTTCAATTATGCTTCTCTATGAATCTAGAGTTGTAATCAATCCCATGTAAAATCTGTTGCAGGGACTTGTCTTACAACAATTTTACAGGATCGCCTTCTGTTAGTTGCCAGCAGTTGACTGTGTAAGTCGTTAATATCCAAACCCAAGTACTGTATTCTTTCTATGTTATTCTCCAAGTTGTTATGTCCTTACTACATGCTCTTTCTTCGTTGGATATTGTTTACTAGCTAATTCCATTGATTATTAAACAGGAATCTAGTTTCTAGTTATTCGTCTTCAGAAAACTTGTAAGTTTTCTAAAACTTTTACTTCTCCTTTCATCAACCTTTGCAAGATGTATGTATGACTAAGCCTTAATTCTTTCAATGTGTAGATGGTGCTTAAAGAAGGACCTCCCTTGCTCGTCAAAACCGAAACGTGAGTTTAGTTTCATTTAATTTTCTTCTTCTATGACCATGCAACAACTTATGTCATTTATAAATTTCTAATACGATTCTTGTCACACCTACAGACCATTCCATATTTATCAATTGTGGAGGGAGGAAGATCGAGTTCGAGGGTAATGAATACGAAGAGGACTTGAGCACTGTGGGACAATCACACTTCATTTCAACGTCTGAAAGATGGGGTTATAGTAGTACAGGGGTATATATGAACAACGATGATGCAGATTACATCGCAAAAAACACATTTTCTCTTAATGTGGATGGTCCAGACTTTTATCAAACGGCTCGCCTTTCTCCTCTCTCACTCAAGTACTATGGCCTTTGCATGTTAAAGGGCAGTTACAAAGTTCGGCTCCACTTTTCTGAAATAATGTATACTGATGACCAGACATTCAGCAGCCTTGGGAAGCGCATATTTGACATCTCAATTCAAGTATGAGTGGATTTTTATTATTGTTGAATTTTCGTCTATATGCTGGTTTTACAAGATTTGGTTTGGCTATTCAGTAAATTCGGTGGAAGCTAGCAAGTAATGTTGTAGTTTGATTCTTGCGCAGGGGAATTTGGTTTGGAAGGATTTCAATATTATGGAGGAAGCAGGAGGTGTTGGTAAAGTTGTCGTGAAAGAATTGGATAATGTTATTGTTAATGGCAGCACTCTAGAGATTCACTTATACTGGGCAGGGAAAGGAACTACTGCCATTCCCAACAGAGGTGTCTATGGGCCTCTTATATCTGCAATTACTGTGACACCAAGTAAGTTTCACCCGTGTTGTAGGAAATTATTTTTTATTTTTTTTTGTTTTTCCTACTTGCATGCCTCTTAACTTCATCAGAACTTTTACTTCTCAGATTTTAAGGTTGATACTGGGGGGCTATCTGCTGGTGCTATTGCCGGTATTGTAGTAGCATCATTTGTGTCTGTTGTATTGGTTTTGGTAGTCCTCCGAAAGGCTGGTTACTTAGGGGGTAAAGACGAGGATGAAGGTAAGGATAATCTCTGCATACAAAGTTTTTCATATGCCTCGTTGTATGTTATTTTCTAAGATTCTTCCTTGTGGCAGAACTGCGTCGTGGGTTGGAACAAAAAACTGGTTATTTTACTCTACGACAAATTAAAGCAGCCACTGGTAACTTTGATCCTTCAAACAAGATTGGTGAAGGAGGTTTTGGGCCTGTTTACAAGGTAATGATTACTTCAACAATATTATTTTTCACATTTGGCGTCGGCAGTAATAGCACGAATGTGAAATTTAATGATTATTAGCGCAAGAAATAATTCCCTCCAAAACCCATCTTCTGCCGGAGGGAGAGTTTGTTGAACGGATAGAGAAATACGTTGTATATAGATGTGAATTTGAAATAACCTTCCTCAATTCGTAGGGTGTACTGTCAGATGGTTCTATAATTGCTGTTAAGCAGCTTTCGGCCAAATCAAAGCAAGGCAACCGTGAATTTGTTAACGAGATAGGCATGATATCAGCTTTGCAGCACCCAAATCTCGTGAGGCTTTTCGGTTGCTGTATTGAAGGAAACCAGTTGTTGCTTATATATGAATACATGGAAAACAATAGTCTTGCTCGCGCTCTTTTTGGTAAACACTTGCAACATCTTGAGCAGAATGTCAAATTTGGTATTTGTATCTGACTTCTCTGTAAATTTGTAGGTCGTGAGGAACAACGGCTACATTTGGACTGGAAAACAAGAAAGAAGATATGCTTGGGTATAGCACGTGGATTAGCTTACCTTCATGAAGAATCAGTATTGAAAATTGTGCATAGGGATATAAAGGCAACCAATGTGCTGCTTGATAAGGATCTAAATGCCAAGATATCTGACTTTGGTTTAGCTAAGCTGGATGAAGAAGAAAACACGCATATCAGCACACGAATAGCTGGAACAATGTGAGTGTTATCTCTCACATATTTGAACTTCACTATAATGCGTTAGTATGACTGCTTTACAACATTCAGTGTTAATAGGTCAGGAAGACAGCATGGTTTATGTATCCAAAGATATTGATACTCTAATTTATATACGCTTCTCTTAGCCTTTGTTTGCTGTTGATTTATGGCACCACACTCACTGATCTGGAGTTATATGCTATTTCTGCAGAGGTTATATGGCTCCTGAATACGCAATGAGAGGTTACTTAACTGACAAGGCAGATGTTTACAGTTTTGGTATCGTTGCCTTAGAAATTGTTAGTGGAAAGAGCAACACGGGTTACAAGCCAAAGGAGGAGTTCGTGTATCTTCTTGATGGGGTAAGCTTTATCCATTCTACTCCATAATCCTTAGAAGATCTTCCTGGTCCACTCTTCTTGTTATGAACATTCAAAATGTCCTTAAAATAAACAAAATTTATATGTTCTAAGAGGTGCTAAATGTTTGTGAAGGCCTATGTTCTACAAGAACAAGGAAACATGCTAGAACTCGTGGATCCAGATCTTGGTTCAAACTACTCTAAAACGGAGGCGATGACAATGCTGAACCTGGCGCTCTTATGCACAAATCCATCTCCCACTCTCAGACCAACCATGACTTCTGTAGTAAGCATGCTCGAAGGAAAAACTCCAGTTCAAGCACCAATGAAGCGTGGTCCAGTGGAACAAGATGCAAGGTTTAAGGCCTTTGAGAGGCTATCACAAGACAGTCAAACCAACGTTTCCATGCTCTCACAAGATAGTCATGTACGAGGCATGTCAATGGAGGGTCCGTGGGTTGATTCCTCGGTTTCTCTTCCTAGTAAGGATGAGAATATGGAACATTCTTCAACAAGCAAGCTACTTAATAATATGTGAATTTTCACCTTTTCAGTGATGAAAAGCTGAAGAAATGAAGGTTTTGCAATTGTTTTTTCTCAATTCAATTGGTCCATATTTTTTGTAAAGGAGATTATGAGACAAATATGTTTTGAAGTTATTGAAGAAGAATTGGTTTCTTGATTTTATTCTACCAGTTAATGTCAATATTATATTTCTCCCACATTTGGTGCAAAGAAACCGGCATTTTCTTTCTTCACCCGCACAATCAAATTCTGGCATGCTGTGTGAAATTTGGTGCTGCTTGTCGCGAAATTGTTCGGCCACATTCCCCCGAACATCTCTGCAAGTGTTCAGTGGACTGGTGTTAAGAGATAAATGCTGGGTGTGACTGCAGCTCCCTTGAAAATAGTGTTCAAGTATTCATTTTCATACATTTCAATCGCCAAATGACATGACATTGTTGTACATAATACATCAAAATCCAACATTTTTTACGAACGATAGAATTTACAATGGGATAAACCTCCGCGGAAAAGTTATGTACCAAATCAAACTCATCATAAATATGTATCATCTTCACATTTATGTGAGTTGAATCAGGGATATCCTCCAACTAAGCAGATACAACTACCAGTAGACAAAATACGAGTTTAGTTTCGAGATTCAACGTTCAAGATTTGTTTTGATGTATCATCCATTACTCCATACAAGTTGGTGAAAGAAAACAATCTGGAAATTCCTAATTGAGCTAGCCGGGGATTCACCTGGGCAGGTGTGCCACTCGCCAACAGACAGATAACACTCCCACTATCGCTCAAAGTTTTTGAAGATTTCTTAGATTGAGACATGAACAAGTCCAGTGTTGAATTGTGTGTCATGATGCGCCATCCAATCTGAACCGCCTACTTGTCATTTAGCATCCCAAGAAATTAAAGTTATTGCCACGTCATCTCTTTCCCGCCTATAAATGGTCCTCCATACAGTTATTATGGTTGCAAATTGCAGCCCTTTCACTCCCTAGTCTAACTGTATCCAGTTCCAAGTGCCACTTTTTTGTTCTAATTCATCACCATGGATGAGCCAGAAATTCTTGATACCGGTCTTCCTGGCGATCATCGTTTCTTAAAAACCCAGAATGGTTTATGGAGTTTCGATCCCAAATGTGACGTGAATTCACACCAATTGTTCCATGTCCTGAAATGTTCTGTGCTGAAACTAGCCCTAGATGGAGCTGACAAGGCGATCATGGACCGAAGGACGCTGAAACCTAGCTTTGCTGCATGCAAATCTCGCTCGGGGTCAGGTAGTGAACATGGAGAAGAAAGGAGGCCTAGTTCGGATTGGAGTGTGAAAAATGAGGTTGAAGAAAGAAGAGATTTTATCAATTTGGCCGAAATGGTACATTCTCCATTACGAAGCTACAATCCGTTTCTTTTGAAAACTTTGACGTTCGTTGTGGCATTACTGATGAAAATCATAGATTTTCAACTTAGTCTAGTGGTCGCATTTTTCACGCTTCCAATTCGATTATCCTATTTCTTGTTCATGCTCTTGTTCATGCTCTTGTTGTTTCCATTTCAAAGTATAAAAAATGTACCAAGAATGTGCAGTGTCATATCTAAAAATGTTACTTCAGCGGTATCCCGCCGTGTGCAAGCTCAAAAGTCAGTGGCAGTGAATGTAGGTAATAGAACCCCTGTTCTAACCTTTACTCATATGCTGATATTTCCTCTTGTATTACTAACAAACTTCTGTTACAATTCATAATCCTGCATGTGCACAATTATCTAGTATTTATACTAGATTGCAAGCTAGGGTAGTTACAAGATATTTTCCTAACTAATCATCAATTAACAACCACACATTCAATCAATGATTCCCAGACACTTGTCACCAACAATATCAACCTATCACAACCTTGTACAAGTATTATCAACAGTATCCTATCAGTAGGGTTTGCTTTCTTCGGGTCACTCTATGTGTGTTCCATGCTTCTTGGAATTCTGGCATCCGGGTTCGTACCAAGTGGATTTATTATGAGACGGTTGAGAATCCAATTCAGACAACCTCAACTTTGATTATACCCAATCAAGTCCAGTTGCTTTTGCACCACTCATGTCATCTTCTCGTGTCAGTAGCGACCGTGCGATACCTTATAACCACAAATTGCAGCTCACTGTCTCGTTAACTGCACCTGAATCCGAATATAATCACAAGCTGGGTGTTTTTCAGGTATGACATCTGATCACAGATTGTTAGTATGCACCACATTTTTCAGCCAAGTAAATTCTATATGCCTAATTGAAATAGCATTTTTGTGACTTACCATTTACCGTTTCTTGTGCCCCAAGGTAAGGGTCGAGTTCTTGTCAGCAAACGGCAGTGTCAAAGCTAGCTCAAGCCATCTGTGCATGCTGCGATACAAAAGCTGGCCAATTCACTTCATCGAAACATTTCTCAAAACTGCTCCTCTCATTGCCGGTTTACAATCAGAAACCCAAGTTCTGAACATAAAAATGAGGGGACACATTGAAGGACTCGAGCTGACTGCCTGCTTGAAGGTGACACTAGAGCAAAGAGCCGAGTTCCAAAATGGTGCCGGCTTACCTCAAATTTACGCTGCATCGCTAGTGCTCGAATCTGAGCTTCCTTGGTCGAAAAGGTTTGTTTGGAAGTGGAGGAGTACAATATTTGTGTGGACAAGTCTTGTTGCATTTTTGGCAGAGTTGATGTTCATCCTACCATTTTTCAGACCTATTATTGTCCCAAGAGGAAGACCGAAAATTGGCTACAGTACTAAGAAATTTGATCACTCAAACATTACTTTCTGGCAGAAAACAGTTAAGTGCTTCCAATCCAAGGAACACTAAATAAATCTTTGAGCTGAACTGTAGCAAATACCAATTTTAATTGCTCAACAGCCATTGAAATGCAAGCATGATTAAGGTTTTTCTCAATTTTGTGTCTCGTTTTTTATTTTTCATTTTTTTGTAGAGCTGAATACTCTTTTTGTCATTCTGAATGTTGTAAGGTTTGGTTTTTCCTATTCCGAAATCCTTCCATTAGGCCTTGTTTGGTATAGATGATTGAACTAGAGTGGAAAATTCTCGAAATTCAAGGTAGATTGAAGAGAGGAGAGTGATTTTTCATTCTGAGAGGATTAGACGTGAAAATTCTTCTCCATTCTAATCCTCTCATTTTTGGATGGATTGGAATGACAACTTTTCTTCCTGGTCTGGAAGAAAGCGGCACAAAGTTGAACGTGGCTTTCGTTTTCTGGGCATAGCGCAGTTGAAGAGCAAGCCAAACTCCACGGGCTATCGTATATCAGACAGTCGCGGCAAGAACCTGATGACCCAGAGAGCCATTTATCCAAGAAAGGACGAGCTGGTCCGTATGAACCCATTCGGCATACACGGGTTGGACTTGGTAGTGACGTAACAGTTGCCGCCGGACAGGAACTTATCGTCGGAGCACAAAAAATGAAAACTAAAAACGATATGCAATGATTTTGCATATCCTGTGCAATAAATCTTACTGCGTACTTCAATTTAGCTTTATGTACAAGGGAACATCTGAAGGCACACATAGTGATAAGACTTTTCTCTCCAGAAGGGCAAAATTTTTAATTAGTGAACATTACAAGCAAAAAAAATATTGAAAAAAAAAAAACAAATAATTAAAAGAAAACAAAAAAGGTCTCAGTGGAGCAAAAACAGGTAACATTGGTATAATTAGCAGTAGAACATGATTCACGTATTCACATATTCACATGTGGTGGGTGTTTTTGAGCTTGAGACTGACTATATACACTTGCATTTTGCACTCTGTTGGGACCTAAGCCATCAAAATTCAAGAACATTATTTAACTGAATCGATAAGTATGGTCGACCAACATTGGAAAGAGGAGCATCCACTCTTAAAACGATCCCCGAGTCCCCAACATTTCCATTCCACTTGGATCTGCCAACCTGACGATGCAAGACCGGACAAAGAAGAAGATAGTAAGAGACAAGCGAGTACGGCAAAGTACAACTTATAGCAAAAAAGTAACTTGTGCGTAAGTTATTTCAAACACAACTTATAGCAAAAAAGTAAACATCCAAGAGCCCGAACAAATATGTTATATACGTTGTGTATCATAACCAAATTGCAAGGTCAAATACCTAACACAACTTAATGCTAATGGAAATGAACCGTATCATATAAAGTAATTGTATACGGGATAAACATATAAAGGAATGCTGTTAGTGAACGTGTAGGAAAGTTGTTAGTAAATGTGTGTTTCACGATTTATACAAATACAATGAAGTTAAATGAAAAAGCTTCGCAAATCACCTCCTTATAAGATATGTTTAGGTGAGGAATGTCCAAGTCCCAAGGGTTTAATGCCAAGTTAGTAAGGAATGGATCACAAAATATTAGATAGGAGGATTTAGATATACATCATATGAGCATCAACAAGCATATAGGCGGGATTTGTAAATGACTCCCTCCAAGTAGGGGATTTTTTTGCAAATCCCTCCAACATTCCTTGGTTATGCTCATACGATGCATTTCTAATCCCTCCTAACTTTTTGTGATCTATTCCTTACTAACTTGACCACAATTCCCTGGGATTTGGTAATACCTCACCCAAACATTGCCAAGTTTGCCAAAATATCAATACAAGAAAAAATCAGAAGGTACATACTTCACAATCAAGCAAACAGCTTTCCAACGAATAAGTCAATAACTTTTGATTTTACTTGGAAATCAGAGTGAAATAAAATTTTCTTGAGATGTTTTCATGAAATTAAAAGCTTAAGTAAGGATAAAGGTGACAAAGTTTGTGCTGCATAAGAAAATAAGTGAGATCCCAGAGAACTAAAGGCTAAAAATGATAGAATAAGCACTGGTATCAGCAATAACATACCGATATTGAAGCAAAAGCAGAAGGATGTGCGGTAAATGAACCACCACATATAAGATTCAGCTGCTCCTTCACTGAGTGAATGAGCTCTGCCCGCAAACCAGGATTGCTTCCACCAATAGTGGGACATAAACTGACCATTGTAAAATTCCATGAAACATATCAACACCAACTAATGAATGTTAAAAGCGCACATGAAGATGAAAGATGAATTTGCATGTGTAACTTAACGTAGTTAAAAGATGTCAATATTACTGATGTGCAGAGTCTTAA